CGAGCATATTGCTTCATGTACTTTGCTCACTTGTAAGTAAGTAGGAAGGTGATGGTGAATTTTTCTCCACCCAAGCAAGGGACAAATCCTTATAACTTTCTTTGACTGTGAATTGGTGCCTGGCCTCTCTAATTAGGTGTGAATATATTTAGTAGGATTTTGCTTAGGGTACCTGGGTTTTAGATTGCTCTGGGATGTCTATACATATCTAAGGAAGGTGCTAAAATTTTAAGTAGCAACCTCTGCTCTTTAAACATTATGCATTTCTTGTAAGATTTTTAGGGAATGCAGAGCACATTGTGGGAGCTCAGTGCATTTGTAATGCGGGGGATTTAAACTGCTATTGATGGGAAGGGCTTCAGATTGCCTGGAAAATGTGAGTGGTGGCAAGATGGAATTTTTCTTGTGGTTTATTTAGAATGTGTTTTCTCTGTATAGCTGAGATATGAATAATTTGGTTGGTTTGGGGATGTTTGTTTTTTTCCTCATTTATTTCATAATTAATACTAAGTTATCTATTATGAGGAAATTACTGTGCTATGGGCAAATGCAGATAGTTCAACCTGTATCTTGCCCTCAAAAGCAAAAGAGAGAAAAAATAATATTTTAAGTAATTATGTTATGCAAGCTGATCCTAAAATTCATGTGGTAAGGAGAGGACTCAGAATAGCTAGAATAACCCTGAAAAAGAAGAACAAAGTTGGAAGAGTCACACTTCCCATTACTACAAAGCCACTGTAAGCAAGTCAGTGTAGTACGGTCATGAGGCTGGACACAGAGATCAGTGGAATAGAGCTGAGAGTCCAGAAGTGAACCCTTACATTTATGGTCACTTGATAGTTTGGTGGGGGAAGAAGAGCCTTCTCAGCAAAGCGTTAGGACAACGACTTGCACATGCAAAAGAATGAATTTGGACCCTCACCTCGCACCACATACAAAAATCAACTAAATGGGTCATAGACCTAAAAGTAAGAGCTAAAACTATTAAACTAGAGTAAAACATACTAGATCTTCATGACCTTGGGTGAGAAAAGGTTTGTTATATATGATGCCAAAAGGCCAGGCAACCAAAGGAAAAATAAATAGGACACCGACAATTAAAATGTCTGTGCTTCAAAGGACACGATCCAGAAAGTGAAGAGACAGCCCACAGAATGGGAGAAAATATTTGCAGAATCATATGTCTGATAGGAAACTTGTATTCGGAATATATGTAGAACACTTATGGTTCAACAATAAAAAGAAAAATAACCCAATTTAAAATTCGGTGAAGAATTTGAGTAGACGCTTCTCCAGGAAAGATACATGAATGGTCAAGAAGCACATGAAAAGTGCTCAACTCTATTAGTTGGAGAAATGCAGATCAAAACCGCAGTGAGACAGCACTTCACTGTCATTAGGACGACAATACTCAAAAACAGACAAGTGTTGACAAGGTCAGGAAATTGGAACCCTCACACTTTGCTGGCAGGAATGTAATATGGTGCAGTCACTCTGGTCCTCAAAGTGTTAAACATACAGTTACCATGTGACTCACTAATTCCACTCTATGTATATGGTGCTCAAAAGCAATGTTTATCAACTTAGTAATGGTAAACAAAATATGGTATATCCATATAATTATCATTTGGCAATAAAAATGAATGAAGTACAGGTACATGATACAATATGCTAAGTGAAGTAGCTAGTCATGTATGATTCTGTTTATATGAAATATGCAAATTAGGCAAATCAATAAAAATAGAAAGTAGATTACTGGTTGCCAGGGTCTGGGAAAAATGGAGAATGGGGACTAATTGCTGATGGCTTCTGAGTTTCTTTTTTGGGGTGATGAAAATGTTCTGAAATTAGATATTGGTGATGTTTACAAAATTCCATGAATATACTAAAAGCCACTGACATCATATACTCAAAAAAGATGATTTTTATGTTGCATGAATTTTATCCCAGTAAACCTGTTATTTTTTTAAAGAAGCGACTATTACACAAGGTATTTGAGTGATAAATACCAAAGAGAAGGATTTCATGTAATGAAGGCATTATCTCTAAGTCAAGTGGTGGGTGGATTATTTTTGGAAGGGAAGTTGTAGTTCAGCTTAGTAGTTGTATGAAGCCCGTGAGAAGATTCAGTGGAAGATGTAACTGGAAAGGCGTGATGTGCCCAGACTGGGGGCACCTTGAATACCAGTATAAGGAGTCCTCTTGCTGTTTTTGGTCAGCTCTAGGAAGTTGGTAAAAAGCGACACACCATATATATACAGTGGAATAGTACTCAGCCATAAAAAGAAATGAAGTATTATCATTTGCAACAACATGGGTGGACCTAGAGATTATCATACTAAGTGACGTAAGTCAGAGAAAGGCAAATCTCATATGATATCACTTACATGTAGAATCGAAAAAATAATGATACAAATGAACTTATTTACACGACAGAAACAGACTTCCAGACATAGGAAACAAGCTTATAGTTACCAAAGGGGAAAGGAGGCGAGGTGGAATAAATTAGAAGTTCAGATTAGCAGATACACACTACTATATATAAGCTAGGTAAACAACTAGGTCCTACTGTATAGCACAGGGAACGATATTCAGTATTTTGTAATAATCTGTAATGAGAAAGAATACATATATACACACATAGTATAATTGAATCACTTCCCTGTACACCAGAAACATCATAAATCAACTATACTACAATTTAAAAAAGGGGGGGTGGCACACATCAGAGCTGTATGAGGAAAATTAATCAACAGCAGAGTGTTGGATTCAGTGGAAGGGAGAGAGGTCACCTGGGGGATGCCTGTTAGGCATGTTAGGAGTCTGCTGGATCGGTTTGAGAAGAGGTATTCCTCTTTAGATTTCCTAAAACTGGAGTTACTTCGGTTGAGCTCTGAGCCTTCTGATAGCAACTTGGGGAATTTGAAAGGCCTTACACACACATACTGTTCTCCTTCATCCTGGGAAAATGAATCACCTTCCTGGTAAAGGGCTGTCTGGGGTCTAAACAATGGTACCGGGGCCCCTGCTTGGCTGCGCCGGTCACTCAGGCTCCTTTCTCTTGTTGCTCACCACCTGTGTTCTATGTTTGTATTTTCTCCTTCCTTCCTTCCTCTCCTTTTCTTCCCTTTCTGCTCCTGTCTGGATCTATTGTCTCCCTTCCTTTCAGCTTTACCTCCCCACCTCCAATTGTGAAACAGTTGAGCAGAGAAAATTACCAGTACTTCTTTGCACAACATAAAGAAAGCTTGACATTAGCTGTCTGAGAGAAAGGAGAATCAAGAAACCTTTTCGTGGTGGGGGTGGGGAGAGGGTGTTATAGCTCAGTGGTAGAGTGCATGCTTAGCATGTACAAGGTCCTGGGTTCCATCCCCCAGTACCTCTATTTAAAAAACAGAATCAAACAAACAAAAAAAAAACAAACAAAAAAACCTCACCTGAAGGAACCTCTTCATGGAACATATATGGAGATCCTAACATGTATGCCATGTCAATGAACATTTTAATGGAAAATATGCTACATATGATGAAAATTTTTCTAGGCAAATTTAATGTAAAAGCCATTGAGGTCTGAGGAGTTTCACTGAGAATTCTGTTAGGCCCGTAACTTCCAGACCTCATGAGAATCTCAGCATGCCCATTTGTGACCCGTGGTTAAAGTCTTTTCTGCCACTTTGCCATCTCCTACTTGGATGCCCTGGGTAGCAAACTCAGGACCCTGACTGTGCCTCAAGTACTGTATTAAAAAATGGTCACCGTATTCCTGAGATATGGGAACTAAAAGACTGCCATGTTTTCGAAGGTTCACAATGAAGCCAGCTAACTTATCCCAACTAGCTAATTCATCATTTCTACTGGACACTTTTGATCTCGGATTACCTTGAAATTTCATAACGTACAGATGACAACATTTAAAAGATGTCTACAGGCTTGTCCTTTAAGGTTAGATTTCCCAGCGGTCAGTACGCAAATGCAGCTAGACTGTTAGTTGCAAGATCGGCTTAGTGGTGGGTGGAGGTGTCCACCCTCAGAAGGAAGCCTGTTTCTTTAAAGAGTTTGCCAAGTTTTGTTGGTTTTGTTTGGGGCAGGGTGGGGGTAGGAGGTGAGGGGGGAACGTTGTGGCAACAAGAATTGGCGGGGAGGGGCTCTTTTGCTCGTTCGAGTGAGGCCAAGTTGCTTTCCCCTCAAACTGAGCTTTCTCAGTGGGGTGGTTGTCAACATCAGGTAAATTAACTCATGAGAAGATTCACGGTGTTTGGCTTGTTACCGATGTTGAGTCCCGTGGAGACGTTAGAGATTTCACCGTACATATTTTTAGTAGTAACGTTTTAATGATGTAACAGTTCAGATCTCCCCGTTTGGTGTAAATGTGGTTCTAGAGGCATAGGGTCTGAATAAATTACTTAAATCATGGACTGTGAAACCTGGTTATAACCCAAGATCCTGTGAATGGAAGTCAGTTGTAGTTCAGAACTTGATACTCAAGGTGGCGCAGTTTCCCCATAAATTTGGTATGTTTTGCATTTTTATCCCTGCTCTGTTCCAAGTCAGGCAAGTGACTGGACATACATGTAGGACCATTTCTGCCTTCTGTAGCCTCCAGCCTTCTTGGCTTGTGAAGCCCCATCCCATATCATATCCTGAAAGGCCCACTTACCCTGTATTCACTGTAATGTGTATGACAGCGAGCTGTCATTATGAACTAGTTGACCTGTTACATTTTTGAAGACATTTATTTAAAACAATACTTTAGATTTCACAGCTTTCTTTGTATATTTTGGAGTCAATTTGTGCTTAGGTCTCAAATATGTGAAAAGCTTGTAGACTTGGTTCTTTATGGAATAAAGGACCTAATACATTCTTCCTCAAACTGACTACATCCATGTTGAACTTCATTTTTGTTAGTCATCTGTGTCAAGGCCACCGTATTAATTGTTTCTCACTTGTATTTCACAGGCGTGTCATTCTAGGCTTGATGTGAATTGTTTGTTTGTTTTTAGATCCGGGGATTCCTGTCACGGTTTGATAACGTCCTTCCTGTCAGCCTGGCGTTTGACAAGTGTACAGCTTGTTCTTCTAAAGTAAGTCATTCTATACTTGTGGGAACTTTTTTTTTTTAAAGGTAGCCCTTCAGCCTCACCAGCCAGAGACCTGAAACCCAGAGGACTTTTTGTCAGGGAGGTGGGGTCTAAAAAACCAGAAAGGGGTTTCTTGTTTTCACTTACCTGTATTCATTCTCACAGAGAAACCAGCCTGAGGAAGTTTGGTTTATAGCGTACAGAGAGAGAGTGGGTTAGACGTTGTAGTTCTGTATCAGCCCTTGCATCACCATGTTTGGGGGCCTGAATTTGAACTGTATTGTCCTTCGTTCCTCCCCCAGAGGGCTCGTCCCTCTCACGGACCACCACAGAGCAATTTTTAAGTGTTACTCAGAGGACCGGGGTTGGGTGGGGTGCAGTCCTGGTGGTGTGTCTTTCGGAGATCAGCATAATGACAGAGACAAAGTAAACAGAGATTAGGGGGCTGGATGGGGAGCCAGTGAAAGGGCCAGTTCAGCTTTGATCTTTTCAGAGGCTCTAAAAATAGAGCTGGCATGTCCTCCTTTGTAATGGGAAATGGCTGATGTATCTCAAAACTGCAGTGATGGCGGCTCGTTTTTTAATAGGCTTTGGGGTGGTCTGAGTTATTTTTACACGTGTACCGTGTATGGTACCTGATTTCCTCTGGATGCCTCTTTAAGCCGTCTAACGCCCAGAGTTTAAACTGGTCTTTTAAAACTCATGGTTCTTGATAAGACTTTCAGGTTCAAGTGTTATGCAAAGTAGCATTGGGGTCATTAATCCCAAACTGCAGCCTCTCGGTTATAATCTGCGACTTCTTTGCTGTGTAGCCTACACGTGGCAGTCTGAGCGGGACTGAATTCTAGGGAAAGTCTCTCCACCGTGAAATGACAAGTTTCTTTGGAAACTTTACTCGGGTCTCACCTTCTGAGAAGCACAATCCCAAGCAGTTTCTCTAGAAAGTTAACTCACGTTTGACAAACAGTGTTGATGAGGTTGGTTAATTTTAGGTGCTGAAAAACTTGGAGTAATTTTTTTTCTTCAAAAGTAAACTCAGCTCCTGTTTTATCATTAGGCCTCCCAAGTGTCTATTTTGAGATTCAAGGCTTACCATTTGTCAGCAGTTGCCCATAAGCTCATTCTTTCTGTGGGTTCTTTAAGGTGTCTGGTATCTGCTCGAGTCAAAGCCTCAAGAATGTCTGCTTGCACTTCTGTCTTCAGAAATGCAAGTTTTAGGATTGTATGCTCTTCAGTGGAGCAGGTTTGTTTTTTTTTCTTTGAATGGCTGAGCTAATTGGTCCCAAAATAACTTGGCAGTGTTAATTTTCACATGAAATTCTTTGGCACAGGTGCCAGAGGTTTTTCTGTGGCTTCATGGAGATCTAGCTAGTCAATGAAATACAGATAATTGGGTTCTCTAAGTGAAACGCAAACACTCAATTTTTTTTCTGGTTCTATTTTTGATTAAATTAGACCTTGAGATACTGTTTATAGAAGGATCACAAGCAAACCAGCTAACTGAGGTCCCATATATTCTTTGAAAGAGAATAGCTGTGTGTTTTTCTTTTACACTTACTGTAAGCATTAAATTAAATACAGGTATCACTGTTTTGTTAGCAAAATTATTTCCTCTTGGTGGTCATTCTGAGAGTCCTGCTTTACATAAAGATGCTGGACGATTTAACACAAACTGACTTGGATTTTAACAGCTGTGCTTTCCCAGAGCGATCACTTTTCATGTGGTCTGGGTATTAAATTTCTTTTGTGCTGAAAAGGTTGCTTCATTGGTGCATGTGTTTCCTTACAGTAGAAACACAGCATTTATTTACTTGGCTAACTTATTTATTCGCTTAGAAGAATGTCGTTCTCTATTATCGGCAAGCCTAACATTAATACTTTGAAATGACAAATCCAATTACATTTTCATCTCTGTGCATGTGAATTTTTCTTAATGCATACTTAGCATAATATTTGTTATACTGAGTCATAGCATAGTTGTTACTGTTTCAAAAAGGTTCTTTGGGGCTAAAAATGACTTTTAAAAAATTCTCCTTTGACATCCATGAAGTAATTTTTTCCTTTGGTAGTTTTTCAGTATTTTGCTTTTTTTCCGTAGGACTAAGGCTGTATTTATACTTGTCTTGATTTAACCACAAGCACAGCAAGACTGGGGGAGGGAGGGAGTGAGAGGAAGCTGTGCTGAGTAATAACGCCTTTATTACTTTATTTATATAAATAGAAGATAGACTTTTTACGGGGCCTGAGGTGGGGAAGAATACAGGTCTCTGCTCCTATGACAGGGGAGGCTGACTCATGTACACGCAAGTCGTTCCTTATCCTGTTTGACTTTAGCTTGACATACAGCCAGGTGAATTGTTCCATCTTCCAGAAGAAACACTGAAGAATCTGGAGGATTCCCGGGTGGTGAGGAGTCACTTTCATTCCAGTTTCTGTTTATTGCCTTGCAAGACTTCCTAAAATGACAGTACCTGTCACTGGAATTTTAGACAACCACCGAAAAAACACCTGTCTGAAGCTGTATGAGTTGTTTTTTCAGTTTTAGAAAGGAATTCTGAGCCAAACGATTTGGTGGAGCTGCTACCAGAGGGAAGAGTATAATTCTGAAACCAATATTCTTGAAAGAACTTCTTCTTATACATTGAGTTGGTTTGTTACTAGTTTTTCACCGAAATAGTTCTGGGGAAGTCGGGGTACTTGGGAGGTCCCTTTCTGTTTTGTGTAAGTTCAAACTCACAAGCCGCAGGAACGGTACCGAGAACTGCTCTATACTCTTTGCTCAGATCCACCAGCTGTTCACGTTTTTCCCCGTTTGTGTGTGTGCTCTCCCTCCCCAGCCCCCTCCCCCCGCCTTCTCTTTTTCTTGACACTTTGAAAAGAAGTTGGAGACATTGTAGTTGTTTACAGCCAAGTACTTAAACGTCCATTTCCTAAGAAAAAGGATCTTCTCCTACCTAGGCACAACACACTTACCAAATTCAGGCAATTTAATGTTTGTGCAATACTGTTACCTAATACACAGTCTGTATTTCAGGTGTTGCTATCTGTACCAGTAATGTTCTTTGTAACTTCTCTTCTCCCAGACTGGGAATCCAAGTGCATTCAGTTGTCCTGTCTCTTTGGCTTCCCCGAATCAGGAAAAGCTCCTTAGCCTTTCTTTGCCTTTCTTAACTTCAGCATTTTGACATTTTGCCAGTTATTTTGTAGAATTTCCCTCGATTTGGATTTGTGTAACGTTTCCTTACGATTAGATTCAGGTTATGCATTTTTGGCAGGAGTACCAAAGAAATGGTGTGTCCTCATGTCAGGAGGCACACAATACATTTTATCCCCTTTGGTAATGTGAATTTCCCCCTTTCTGTACTTGTAACTGTCTTCCCAAACAGTAGGAAACCTGGCTCCCATTATCCTGGATGTATTTACCCGCTTGCTCAAGTCTAGAGTACACTGAAACTGGTTCTCAAATTGCCAGTCCATACTACTGCAGGTAGTAAACCTGTTAACTAGAGTTTGGTATTTGTGCGTGGTTCTTTTCCTCTAGGTAAAATTTACATACAGTGAAATGAATGAATCTTAAGAGAACAGTTCTGTCATCTTGACAAGGGTATGCACCCCTGTAACCTACATTTCAGTCAAGTCATAGGCTGTTTCCCTGACCCTAGAAGGTTCCCCACTGCTCCTTCCCCATATCAGGGGAAGGGAGCAGCATGTTGGATTTTGTGACCGTTCTCTTTCCCCGGAAGGAGTAAAACTAGGCACCTTCTGGAGTTTTACGTAACAACAGCCTTGTTCCAGGGACCCAGAAGCTGATGGGGAAGCTTCCCTCAGATCTGCGAAGTTGGGCGCAGGGCTTTGCCCGCAGAAACTGCAGGCCGAGCATTTCTCTTGCTCTCCACCTTGGTGATGGTGCAGGAAGAGCATCTGGTATACAGAAGCAGGCCCCAGACTTGGTTTTCATCCCCTCTGGGACCCACCTAGTGTACAGATGGAGCAAGATGTGTGCCCAGAAACCTGATCTGCAGACTCTAACCAGCCATTAGCCACCCTGATAACACACTCATTCTGGTGTTTACTGTGCGTGGGTTCTTCTGCTGACGCGCTGTGATTAAACTTCCCAGAGTGACTTGTTACTAGCTTTTTATGTGCCTCTGTGTAGTGTGTCTTGAGGAGTGATGGGCAGAGGTGGTGTAAGGGCAGACGTCAGCCAGGATCGTCCTACAGAAACCATACTTTCCGTTTGCCTTTGTCATAGCGGCCTGCCCATTTATCTTTGGGTATAACCCCACCTTTCTTCTCTCATTTCTCTTTTCTTTGTGACTTAAGAGGCATGACATAGCAACATTAAACTCAGCTATTTAAACTCTTTCAAAGAAGACCCTCCATCCCAAAGCAGCCTGTGACTAGAAGTTCTGCAGATGCACTGTGGAGAGGCTAGAAGGACAAGTGGTAGATTTAGAAGGAAAAGTTAACCTCTTAACTGTAGGTCTGTTAGCTGACGTTCATTTATTCTACTGACATTTGAGCGCCTGCTGTGTGCGAGGGAGACAGGGATGATTAAAGCAGCCACTGCCCTCGGAGAGCACGGTCTGAAGAGTGACCTGTAAAGCAGCGGTGATCTCCCGAACGTTGTGATGTGCTCTGCATCAAGGGACATCCTCTTGCTATGGTCCCTGGTACCAGTTAACCTTGTAAGTGAGGAAGAGTGGGGAGGACCTTGGAGGGACTCCTAAGTTGATGTTAAAGGATGAGTGGGAATGTGTAGAAACACGTGGCAGAGAGGACAAGAGGAAGGTATGTCAGGCATGGGGAACCACATGTGTGAGAGCCGGAAGCAAGAAAGCATGGCACATCGATGAAGCTGTTCGGCGTTGCAGCTGTGCCAGAGCCTGGGACACCTAATTCCCTACAAGTTGTCCCCTGGTCTTGATGAGTGCCATTTCGATTTCAGCTGTTGTTGGACTCTGGCGTACTTGAGGCTGCTGTTTTGAATTTTACAATTTGTA